ACTTAGAGAAAAATGTAGCAACTGTAAGATAATTATGAATTACACTGATAATTATACAAGTTTCTTATCTAGAATGAGTGTAAATAGTTGAACAAATTAATGCACACAATTGAATAAACTGTTTTACAACTGCAGCAACTATAAAATAATTTATTTTATTATATGTGTATGTTAATTCTATATATAAATTATATAATAATATTATAATAATATTATATAATAATCATAATATAATAGATAATTATTATACTAAATATTAATTCTACGTATATATATATAAAAATAGCTGTATGTCATTTTTATAGTTGCGTCTTTTATCATTGTATCTTTTTCTCTAAGTGTGAGTTATATTAATTAAGGAATCTTACAACAGTTACAAAGCTGCTCTTTCTGCTGAATGCAGCCAATAAGTCGACGGACAGCCGCGTCCGCATCGCGATCACGTACGCGTAGATTAGCGATCGTTTGTTCGGTCCTGGACACGCGATGACCGACCGCGAACTCCGTCGTGATCGTCGGTCACTCGACATGAATTAATTCTTCTCTCTCTCTCTCTCTCTCTCTCTCTCTCTCTCTCTATTGAGCGTAAACATCGCAAACACGCGATAATACAAAACGTGCCGGAACCGACGATCTTGAAATTCGCTCGGCCGCGAACATCGCTTAGGCGTCCCCATTACGTAACATCACATAAATAGGATTTGAAAATTTTATACGAATCCATTTACGCAACGCGAAATATACTTGTATAAAATACATGTAAAACACGTATGTACGCGGTTTTATGGAACTGAATTAAATTTTTATGTATAAACAGTCAATTGTAGCTAAAGCAGAACGAGAGTAGCCTCTCGTGATTGAAATTCTGCACGAATCGCAATGACAGATCGTAACGCTTAGAAACGACACATCTGATACATCGGAATACTTGCCAATAAACCTCGCTTATTTACATTTTCTAGCAACGTTTTCCAGGCGCTGCTATTCGTCAACGTTATTTGTTATCGTCTTACGAACTGCATTTAAATGTATCATTATTATGTAATTACACGGAATAATTCCAGCTTCCACTACGAATTCTAATTTAGTCAGATTTTTTTTTATACATGAAAAACAAAATGGAAAATAAATATGCTGGAATATGTTTTAAGTTTTATTTATTTTGTTACGACCTTACAAATTTATGTATATTATTACGTAATCTTTATTTCACAAAATATTTCCGGAATTTCCAACAGTTATATGAATTTTTTGATTAATTTACAATCAAATTTTTTTTCTCTTAAATAAAACAAATATACTTAAATGCTTTTTCAAATTCTATTTATTTATTTTATTATCGTTTTAAGAACCGCACTTACGTGTATTACATAATTTTTTAAATCAAATATTTTAATATGCACCTAACTAAAATAAAATGGAAAACAAATATGTTTAAATACTTTTTCAAATTTTATTCATTTTGTTATTATCTTATGAATTACATTTAAGTTATTACGTTATTTTACGTTATTTTATTACGTTATTTTCTCGGAATCTCAATTATGTATTTTTTTAATTAATTTTTTTGATTAATTTACAAATTTTTTTTATATATAAAATAAATATGTTTAAACATTTTTTCAAATTCTTATTTTGTTATCATTTTATAAACCGAATGAATTTATACATTTATTACGTAACTTTAATGAAATATTTTCGAAATAATATCAGACAGCTACAAAATTAATTTACAGATTTTATATATGAGACAAGAAAAACAAACATGCTCAAGTACTTTTCCAAACATTGTCAACGTTTATTTCATTATCGTCTTATGAATCGATTTAAATGTATCATTACGTAATTTCACGGAATATTTCAGAATAATCCCAGGCTATTACGAATTCTTTGACTAATTTATACAATCGAATCTCTTTGTACGCAAACACACGGGAGGGAAACGGGTAAATACTTTATTTCAAACTTTGTTTTCCACAAATTTCAATATCTCTGATTCCATTATCCCGTTTCGAAGCGAAACATGATGCAACATCGTGGCATCGTATCCCGTCGATTTCTATTCATGATCGATCATGCCAGCGGAGGAAGACATACATCTCGCGACGAAATGCGCAGGAAAACGCATCGGTGCAATAGTCGACGGTCGTTCTCGCTCTCATCTCGCTCGCTCTGTTCGGCGGAGTATTGGAATTTCGAAAAGCCAGGCCGCAACGTACGTACGTACGTACATACACGTATATTCCACGTGTGTGCGAGCATTTGCGCGTCTGTGTACGTGTGCTCAGGTAGACAGTCCTGATTTAGAGCATCCCCCAGTTGGCGGGCGTTTAACCGAATCGAGGATTCATCTCTCCTCAAAGCAGCGCGGCGGCGGACGCGATGCATGAACGGTGTGTAATATGATGAGCGCCACACGTATGATGTGTGTACGTAAGCGCGAGCTTTATACACAGCTGTACACATACACACATACATATGTATATACATATATATATATACACACACACACATACGCTCGCTCGCACATCTCTCTCTTCCCCCCCCCCCGGCACACCGCCTACCACTCTTCCCCCCATCCTTCACTTACACACTCGCGGCGGTTACACCCACGCCGAGCTCTCTACTTACGTTGCCGGTTGACTCGTGTTGTCCGGCGCTCTCCGCCACTTTGACTTGCGCCGTCTCTGTCGTAGCACCCGCGCGCGTACACACACGTAAGTCTATATACACCCACAGTCCGACATTCGGCATTCCCGCTACAACGCCGGTGCTCTGCAGATCCGCGAGGGTGCGAGCGAGCGAACGAATGGGAGAGCGGGACAACGCGAGGGACTCGACGGACTCTGGAGAGAGCGAAAGATTAAGAAACGCGTTGGCGCGACGGAGAGCAACGGCGACGGGTAGCAGGCAAGACAACAGAGAAAGCACGGGTGGTATATCTGTGACACGAGAGTGCGAGGAGAGGATACCCGCGGCGAGATGCGAGCGGGAGCGAGAGCGACGAACACAAAGCAGGGGTGTCGCTAAAGAGTTTTCGAAACTTGCTCTCGCACGCGCCGCACAGGGCAATGTATTAAATGTACGTACCGTTGAATTGATTCTCGCCGTTTGATTGAAAATCGCTGGCAAGCTGCTCGATCTCGGGGCGAGCAGCGGGTATTCGTGATAAACAGATAAACAATCGTCGTGTCAGATTTGAGAGATACATAAATACAACGTGACTTTGATTCGAATCGAGTGGAACTAAAGCCCATTCTACAATTACGTAAGCGTAGTTGTAAGAATTGACCAACCACAGCTGAATGTGAGAATATTCTTAATTCTTACAACTGCAACCATTTGCAATCACTTCGCTTATGCAATTGTAGAATGGGTTTAACAATTTATTAATAATGTTTACATTTGCAATTTTTACATTGCGTTCTTTAAATCTCTAATTTGTAAAAAAATATGTAGAAAAAACGTAAAGCACTAAACGAATCAATCAATAGAAAATATAAAACGATAACTTTGCGTTCTCTATTGTGATTGCTTCTTACGTTTTACTGCCTTAAGTTTTTTGGCTTTGCCATGAGTTCGTAACTCATTTACAATGAAAGTAATATTGGATAGTAAGTCGTAAGCTGTAAGAAATTGACCAATCACAGACGCTTACTCTCCTCATTTAACTGTGATTGGTCGCCTGTAACTTACTACACCATATTATTCCCATTATGGACAGTCTTTTAACGACTTCGTCGTTGTGGAGCTTTTTTTTGACTCGTACAAGATTTGCGCAACAACAGTGTAACGACATTATTGTCACGAATGGGCCATCTATATACAATGGGAGTAATATTGTAGTAAACCGTAAGCTGTAAGAAATTGACCAATCATAATCGATTATTCTTCTTACATTCGACTGTGATTAGATTGATTTCTTATGATTTACTACACAATATTACTTCTGTGTAGATGAATAAGAATTACAGAATAGGAACTTAAATGCTGTAAAAAAAAACCCAATGTAAACATAGTTATAATAACTGTTAATTCCGCTCGCTTTGAATTAAAAACACTTTAATTTCTTATTCTTAATCTTAATTCAAGTTTACACTTTTAACGATCGTTAAAATCATATTGGATTAAAAAACAACGATCCTTGGAGCCGCAAGTGATAGAAGTACAAAAGAATACATTCCAACACGGCCGTCGAGGAGGTTTGACGGACATTATTCGATATTTCAAAAAATTTCGATCGAAACTACGAATCAATGACGAGTATACCGCGAGATATACAAAATATGGGAAAGATCGGCACTCCCCAATGAAATCGGCTGCCGGTGGAATGGTAGATTGAATCTTTTTAACGGCCTTCGGGAAGAGAGAGAGAGAGAGAGAGAGAGAGAGAGAGAGAGAGAGAGAGAGAGAGAGAGAGAAAGAAAGAGAGATACAGATTCTCTCTTCTTCGTAACCCACAAACTCCAGGAGAGACGGCGGAGCACTCTCTCGCCCCCGTCGGTCGACGCCCTTGACTCACGCGGGATGTTGAGAGAGAGAGAGGAGGATGATAGGGGAAGGAGGGGGGGGGGGGGGGAGGGACGACGTAGAGAACGGTGCTGCGGTGGGGGCAGGACAGCTTGCGGTGGAAGCGAGACGGAGTCGTCGTAGCTTGCCACTGCTGTTCTCGCTGGTGTGTGTGTGTGTGTGTGTGTGTGTGTGTTTGTGCGCGCGCGCGGTGTATGTGTGTGTGTGTGTGTGTGTGTGTGTGTGTGCGAGTGTTCCGTGCGCTCGGTCTCATTGATGCGTCAGTGTGG